CCCCAAAACCCCAAAACCCCGTAATTCAATTATAATGGTTGTATTTGAGAGGGAATTAAATATTGAAAATTCTAACTATATAAATCATATTAAACACTAGCAATTAAAATCTTTAATTTATATTATGATTAAGTATAGGTAGCTTATTATTATTTATTATATAAGGACTGCTTAATGAATACCAAATAGGATTAATAAAAGAGGATTAAAGAGACTTTGCTAATAAAATCTGTAGACAACGATCTAGATAGAACTGATTAAGAGAGATCGACAAATTCACAAGTATAAATCTATGACTAAAACTAAAGCAAGAATAATACCCTCCATATTCTTGGAGTAAATCTTAAAGAAAACGTTGGCATTTTGACAGGAATGACAATTTTTATTGTGTCTTGCTTGGGTAGCTTAATAACCTCCTTCATTTTCTAAATTTCAAACTTGCTCCTCAAAATCAAATTTGAGATTAATAATGATGATGAACTGATAAGCATCAGTAGCATAATATACATGATAATAGTCATAACACAAATTATGGTAAGTCCCATAATGGGGGTTTTCGTCGATATATTTGGTAGAAGATCAGTTCTCACAATTTACTTCATTTTGACTGGACTACTCTGTGCTTACTTGCCACACTCCTATTATGTTTGGTTCGATTTTTTGGCAGTCAGATTATTGCTTGCAGTTATGGCAAACTCAATGCTAAATAATACTTTAATCCCAGACTATGTTTAGCATTAAAGTATTGGAAAAGCTGTGATCTATAAAAACTTCTCACGTTACATTGGAAATTTTCTTCAGCCTATAACCTTCATTAGTTTGATTTCAGCTAGTTATATTTGGCATTCATTCAATATCCTAGCTGTAGGAATGGGGCTAACTGCAATATATCTTTATTTTAATATAAAAAATCCATCTGACTTAGTAAAGTAGCACCCTGATGATTAAACTTCTACAAGCACAAAATCTTAGGTTTTAGTTTAGTACCCTAATATTGGTTAAGATGCCACTATTGCTAGTCAAATGCCTTAAAAGAGCAGAAATTCTTTTTGCTAAAAATTTCATTAAGGAATGATTGAATGCAAGAAAAATCCTATTTTGGTATTTTGCTTTATGTAAAACTTTATTGTGAGAATGGGTATCGTCCTTGGTTCTAATGCTTATAATTTGTGGATCATTTCATCTATTAAGGATGAATAAACAGTTTTAGAAGTTATTGGTTTGACGAATTTTCTTTCTACAATCCTTAGCTTCGTAATACAGATACCACTAATTAAGTACCTTGATTGCATAAGACCAAGTGTGATTTTTACACTTTCTCATTTTTCGAGGGGAGTTTCACTAATATTACCAGTTCTAATTGATATTAATTCAAGTCTTTTTATTACAGTAACAATCCTTTTGATTGGACTAGCAAATTGTCTTACTAACGTTGCAAGAGATCTAATTTTCCAAAAGAATTTGAACAACGAATCAAGAGGAGTTATTGTAGGATTTATGGATTTCTTTTAGTATCTGGGAATCTTGAGCTATCTAATGGTATATACCTTTTTATCTAGCGTAATTGGTCTTAAAGGATGTTTTTGTTTCCTTGGAATACTCGATATGTTATTGCTATTAGTATCTGCTAGATATAACCTTAATCACAAAAATACTTGAACTTTAAAAGTACTTGCCAATATCAATTGATTTTATTTGAAAATTTAATTTTATCGTATTTTATTATATTATTTCAAATTATCTGAATTTTTATAGCTATGGGGTTTTGGGGTTTTGGGG